GACAAACACCTGTCAGGGATGGTCTAGATAATTTTTAGTCCTACCTTGAGTGCAAGGGACTGGATTAGAAAACCTTTTGAGGTCCCTTCCAGTCCTACACCTCTATGCTTCTATGTCAAAAGATGCTGGAAGAAAGTGACACATTAAAGAGCAATATATTACTTCAGCCAGATGATGTACATCCAAGAATTCTGAAAGAATTCAAGACAGAAGTAGGTGAGTTGCTGACAAAAATATGCATTTTTCTCAGTAAAATCAATTACTGCAGGAGAGAATGGCAGAAGTTGTTCCTATCTTTACTAAATGAGTTCGTGGTGATCCTCCTGGGTATTACTGACAAGTAAACTTTCATTTCATACCAGGTAATGTGGTAGAAATGATAATTAATAGAACTGCAAAACACCTAGCTGAACAGGAACTGATAGGGATAAAGAAAAATCATACTTCTCTAACCTATTAGAATTCTTTAAACATCTCAGTAGAACAGGGAAAAAAGAGAACATGGCTGACAACCAATGTGGCTTTTCAAAAGCTATTGACAAAGTCCCCTACAAGGGACTATTAAGGAAATTTGGTAGCAATAGGATAAGAGAATGCAGAAATGGACCCAAAACTGGCGAAGAGTAGGAATGAGTGGTACATTTTCAGCATGACAAAAGGTTATCAATGAGTACACTAATGTTCTGTACTACAACCAGTGTGGTTTTGCACATTTGTTGATTATCTGAATATTATCTTGATGAACTTCATCATATCACCATTTTTTAATGAACACACAAACTATTTCTCATCTGCACATGTCCCATTTATTATATATATAAAAACATGCTGAAGTCTAACCGACAAGCCACAGCAAGATCTACATGTACAACACTGGCACAGCATTGTCTTCCAGGAACAAAGGAACTGGCATCACTGCCATAAAAAGTCTCCCTTCTCCCCACCGCTACCCCATCTCTCAGCAGCACATCCCAGATGTAGTATGAATTTCAGCCTGTAGATGGTAAAATTCCAAAGGTATTGCCACTCTCCTAATTACAGAGGGAGAGGGGGCTCTGACCAGGAAGAGGGAGACAAGTTGGGGAGGATGTGCTTGTACAGAATGATGAGATGGCGGGCAAACTCCCTCAACTTGGCCAGATATCCCGGAAGGGTGGATAACATGGAGACCTTGCTTCGCCTCCCTCTTTGGCATGCATATATATATATAATGTTATATTTAGTGTGGTGGACAGCAAAGAATAGCCTCCGTAACCATTGCCAAAAGACACAACTTAGTGAAACATTTCCATTTGTGTTCAAGTCAGGAATCCTGTTTTCCTTCTGTTCCTTAACCCAGAGGGAAGTACTCCAAGCAACCACTGCCCTTTTAGTCATACCCCAATAAAGCATATGAGAAAGTCTATGCTGTTCTATCTCCACGCTCTAACTCATTCCTTCCCAAATTATCACACAGGAAGAGGTCAGACACTAGACTACAGTCTCGGCTGCTCCCGGTGAGCAATTCTTTTTTTTTTTTTGATCATGTGATCCAGCCAACTAGGTTCAAGACAATGGTGGAAATACTCCAGGCTGTATGTGTTAGAGCACCACTGTGAGCTGGTTTCCTTTATGGTGTGATTTAATTTCCTGAAGACAGGTCTTTGTGGGGAGGGGGTTTGGAGTGGGCCCATACTAGGCACAGAGTTGTTCTCCTTATTTTGTGGCCCATTACCTCTCAGGTCAGGGTGTGTGTGAGGATCACCAAGAAGGAACAATAACATCAGGTTGGGATTTTAGATCAGAAAACAGGACACTTTTGTTGGTGAGGGGGGATTGTATGGAATGGTGTTGGGTAAGGTCAGGGAGATGAGCATAGAAGAATTTTGATAGCTGTGGGGAAGGGGGGGAAAAGGTCCCCACTCTTTCTTTATATTTTTGTGCTTCTATCTCTTTTTCCTTTATCTCACTTTATTTTTGTTCATTTCTTTAATTCCCCCAGACTTTAGTCTTCTCCACCTATCTTCTTATTGCCATTCTTATCTCCCTGCTCGCTCTCCCCATGCATAATCACTCTTTTCTCTCATAGTCTGTCTGTCCTTTGTCTCTCCACTTCCCTCAGCCCTTGTATCCCACCACAATTCAGTGCTCACAGTGGATGCAGTGGAGATGGGTAGATGCCAGCCCAGGTTGGGTATACCAGCTTGCTGCATATATAATGGCAATGCAACAGAGCTGCCATGGGAATCGTGACCATTCACAGAAATATCTGGGATGTGACTTCCACGTGGATGTATTTATCTATGGGAACACTTGCTAGGGGTGGGGAGAATGCCCACAGGGAGTCATCATACAGGTCATGGTCAGCAGAGGACAAACCTAGTGCGAAGGGATGGACCTTGAAGTGCATATGTGTTTAGGTGGCCAACAGATCCTTCAGGTGAGGTTTACATAAATTAGGTAAAAATATTGTTTTTTGTGAAACTGGAAGGGACATGTACAGAAAGCAGTGAAAGCATTTTTCAGGGAGGCATGCCCTAAACATGATCAAAAGATGTCTACAAAGGAAATTGTTGAAGAATGCGCCATCAGTGACATTTCACTATTAAGTCTTATCTGAGTGACTCATATTCTGTCACCAAGAAAAACAGGCTAACTCTTTCTAGATAACAACTGTGGAAAGAGTAATTAAAAGAACCGGGGAATTTCTTTTTTGTTATAAAATATACAAATGAGTTTTCAGCTTAATAGATGTTTTTTTTCCTGCTGAGACAGCTCCGTTTTTCCAGTGTGTTTTTGATATGATATGATATATGTAGACACATATATCTTTTCCTAGTAGAGCGATAGATCCAACTGATGTGAGATTAGTAGAGGAAAGTTCTGTGAGAAAATTCACTTTCAGTATGATCTAATCAAAAACATTTAATGTGTTTTCTCTCTTAAAAAAAAAAAAAGCCAATTTAGAAGAAGATCCATTAAGTCTCATAAAGATGCGGTAATAGTGAAGTGTTTCCTGAGGCCAGAGTATCAACTGTCAAATTCTCCTCTCAGTTACAACAGTACAACTCTATTGGAGTCAATGGGATTGATAGAGAATTTGGCCTGTAGTTTGTGTGATAGGTTTTACAACCCCTCTTGGTCCTATTGGGTTCCGGGGAGGTGGGCAGGCACAAACTGGCCCATGGCTAAAGGACCCTCGCCCAGTCTATGATTATGGGGGACAACAGAAAATATAACAAGGGCAGGTGTGAAGGTCAAAGGGTCAAAACAAGGGAATCTGAAGGGGACACTGAACAGAGAACCCTGGACAACGTCCACAGTTCTTGGTCTTGAGGGGGGTATGGAGCCTGAACAGTGGTCCCATAGCTGGAGACAAGACCAAAACACCTTTAATTCTGTCAGGCCTGGAACCAGGTGAGGCTATGTAGCTTGGGGCAAATGCAGCTGGGACTCATTATCCTCTCAGGCCCAGGTGACATGCATAAAAGGAGAAAGAGGAAGTGGCTAGTTCTTGGGAAAGATTAGAATCAAAGGAAGAAGGGTCTTTATCACCACATTGTGCTTGGACCATAAAGCATGCTGGTTTTATTTTGGGATCTATTTGCCCATAAAAGGGAAGACTTTGATTTGGACTTCTATATCTTGGAAGGAGGACAACTAGGTGCCTTATTTAGGATTGGATTCATTGTACCATTGGAGGGAGCCAGAGAAAGAAAGAGAGCATGTCCTGTGATAGTTTGTAAGACATTTCAGGATGTGCCTGGATGGAAAGGAGCTATGAAAACCTAAGAGATTGCTTAAGCAAAGAGTCTCACTAGAAATAAGTTAGCCGTTGTACTGCTCATATAGAATAAACAAGCAATGGTGAGTTTGTGGAATCCTACATGTGAAATACTTGTTTAGTAAAGTAATGCAGACTTTCATTATTTTTTAAGAAAAAAAATGAAACAAATCCCATCGTCAGCCTCCACTCCCTGCTTTTGCGACAGAGGCTGTGAGTACTGTTCTGAGGGTCCCTCTGGCTGGAGTCGTCAGCAATGGAGAGGCATTTGCTGTCATAAAAATCTACCTCAAAAGAGAGACTGAAAAGCCTGAGCTTTTCCTTTGGGGTGAATGCCTCCTCTTCCTCAGCTTCCTTTCTGCCATTTTGGGGAAGATATATTCATATAAATCTTCCATAATATAAGAACTGATCTGCTTTATGAGAAACAGTGGGTCTCAGTAAATCCATAGCCTGTCTCCAAACTGGACAGGAACCAGCTTTCAGTTCTTACTCTGTTTGCTTTATTATAACTTCCACAGTTGTGCTGTTTGTGCCTGTGGCACTTGAGGCACCGTTGGCTGTGATACCACGAACTGTCCTTAGGGTCTGAGAAATCCTACACACCCTACTGCCCCCTCAAAACAAAATGTGTGGCTCTCAATCTTCTTTAACCAATTTCCTCATTCTTGCAAAAATCCTGAGGTTAAGGCCAGGGCTGGATTTACACCTTATGTGCCCCTACACACAGCATCTTTAACATCCTGTCCGCCCCCCGCCTACAGCTGACCTTCATGTTTTCTGTAAAAAAATGAAACTTTTAACCCACTTTTAACTTTTAGGTGCCCCTAGAATGCTGGTGCCCCTAAGCACGTGCCTACTGTGCCTAATTGGAAATCCAGCCCTCATTAAGATGTTTTCTCATATCCCATATCTCACTCCTTCCCTCCTACACACACACACCACTTCTCTGTGGAGCTAGCTCTGGGAGCCAGAGCATATTCTGAGTGGGGAGTGTGCTAAACAGCATGGTGCTACGGTGCCACAAGTCCAGAAGGGAAGCAAGTGGCATGGGGCTATTCAGGGTGCTGGCTGCTTCTAATGAACTATATTGTAGAGAGAGGTAGATGTCTTCACTAGAGTGTGTCTTCTCACTCCCAAGAGCTGCCACCTTTCCCCCTCCCCCCCCCCCCCCGGTACGGATAGCTGTTAGCATCTGTAATCTTAACTTTGCTTTTGCTATTGTATTTTATTTCCAGAGGAGCCCCTGTGACTTCCTGTTGCTGCTTTGTTTTCACAGAACCATACAGAAGTCCTTGTGGTTTTCTCAAGGTACAGTAATTTTTCTTGCTATGCTTCACTGAACTGTGTCAGCAGGAGCTCCTTAGCCTGTTCTCATAGCCAGGATCCAGAGCTCTCAAATCTAGTGAATTTTGCAGGACATTACACACATTAGCTGACTCAGGCTTGTGGGCTCCTAACCCCCAATGTTCTACTGCTGTCTAACAAATAGCTGTGTAACCCACAAGCAAAGTGTGTGTCGCATCCCCCTCTCATGACGAGTGTACAGAGAAAATAAATTAATCCTTAGCTCAAGTGTACAGGCCTGTGTTTAAGGTCTATGACCTTGTTGGTGACCCATGTTGGGCTGGGGCTTATGGTTGCACATGACAGAACTAGTTTATTTAATTCACACAGTAAGAAAATATAATTGAAAACATGTTTTATAGTTAAATATAATCTGTAAATAGAGTGGCATGCAGAACCCCCTCAGATGTTCCACATCTCATTGTCACGCATTTCAAGTGCTTGTGTCACACGCTGGCAGGTTCAGCGGTTGACAGAGGAATGCTTTGCTCTGGGGAATATTTTAATTTGGTTGTAGTGGGGTGGGTTATGGTTCAGGTTTGATCTGGATTGGGAGGCGCTGTAATTTAATGAAGCAATCTCATGAGATTTTGATCCTGAATGGCAAAAAACCCTGAGATACATTCAGGTGAATAGGTTTTCATTGTTTTAGCTGAAATCTTAGCGGAACAGCTGTTTGAGATCTCTGTCAGAAGTGTTGTCACCAAAAAATCGATACAGTCACAACCAAAACTGTAGTGGGAAGGCATCCAGATACTGAAGGTTAAACATCCCACAAAGTCCAAAAGGGTTTGACTCTGTGGTCCTTATTTGGCTCCTTTCCATTTAGTATCCAGGCAAAAATTATTGCACCGAATTTTTCTTTACTATATGTTATGTTTTGCTGCTCAAACTGAAAGTTGTATAAATATTTTTTTCTAAATGTGGATTATCTCTCTAACTGTAACAAAGTACCAAAAATAGTGATTAATTTTGACACTAAGAATAGAAGTCATGGGGCCTGTTACAAAGAATTTCTTTTAAAAAGTAACCCTTCAAAAATTTGAACTAAGTCAATTTGTCCCATAAAATGGGCTTCTCATCCAACGGTTATGCAAGATTTGGCTAGCAGTCATGGGAATCTGCAGAGATTATTTTAGAATAAAAACATATTAAAAATTACAAGGGGAAAAATTGTTTATCAGGGTACAGAGTTCAAATGAAGCATGTTTCCACATTCAGATGTGTATGCATGAATGCAAAATAATAAGCAAAAAAGATGTATCTATTGCGTGTCTTGCTCAATTAAAGTGATAACAAAGAATAAAAATTTTCCTACTTGTTCGCTATAAATCTCTCCATAAATAGGGCACTTACTGTATTAAAATACCTTGCATGTGATGTTAGCATAAGGTCTTTATGAAAAGAGTAAAATTCCGGTTCTCATATGGTCATGTTGATAGCCAAGGTCTTAGATTCAGTTCGGTACCATGCAGATTACTATTTTATTTGTCTAACACTAGCACCTAGGTGCTGTACAATCACATAGGAAGAGAAAATCCTTGCCCTGAAGAGCTTACATCCTCAGTAGATCAAACCAACAAAAGGTGGGAGAAAGGAGGTATTATAGTTTTCTTTATATTATGACTTTCTTAAATATTGTAGTAACACAAATGCATTTCACAGCACTTTGGAACACACTTTTTAACAGCCCCCTAGCCTTTGTGCTATTTTTTCTCTATGCATTCCAGGATCCAACTTTCTTATAGCTTAAGGATAAAAGGTAATACTTTCAAAAGCAACTGAGGTGCTTTTGAAAATAGGACTTAGGATCCCATGTCACTGAGATGCTTTTGAAATTTTTACACAAAATATCCAAACTGGAGTGCCTAAATTTAGGCATCCGCATCTGTATTTAGGCATCTAAATAAAAGCGCCTTGGTTTTCAGAGTTATAGAGTATTTTGATGGATTTCCATTCCATACGGCTATTTTCCATATGAGTATTTTGAGTTCCCATTGACTTCAGTGGAATTTGTGGATGCTAAGTACCTTTGACAATCAGGCCACCTTCATGTAGGTGTCTAAATATAGATTCAGGACCCTAAATTTAGACATCCAGGTTTTGAGACTTCTGGGCTGGCATATTTAACAAACCATATAACAGGGAGTTGGAGATCTTGTATCTGAAGGTAGTGTTTGTAGTAGATAATGTAGACACAACATTATTGAGATTCAGTTCAGAGAAGATTGTGAAGAACTTCAGAGGGACTCACATGAATGGGCAATATGATAGATGAAGTTCAATGTTGATAAATGTAAAATAATGCAGATTTGAAGAAAAAAATTAAACTACTCATACATATTGCAGTGTACTAAATTAACTGTATCAACTCAACTCAATAAAGACCTCTGGTCAATGTGCAACTGAAGTAAAAAAAAGCAACAAAAACAAGGTGTTAGGGAGAAATGGGAATCAATGGTGTTGTCTCATGTGCAGCACTGGTCACCCCATCTCAAAAAGGACATTGCAGAATTAAAGGGAGTTGAAAATGATTAGAGGTATGAAAAGACTGTGATACGAAGAGAGATTGAAAAGATTGGGATTGTTCACCTAAGAGGGGGCATGATAAAAATATATAAAATAATAAATGGTCTAACGAAGGTAGAAAGTAGATTCTATTCTCTCTGTATTAGCCAAGGGATGTTACATGAAAATAAAGTGTGATAAATTCAAAACTGATTGAGAGATACTTTTTCAGACAACACATAATTAGACTGTGGAACACATTGCAACATGATAATATTGAGACCAAGAATGCAGTAAGATTGAAAGAGGGATAGGACATTTATATCAGCCAGAGCTGTTATAGTTCATGCTAACAAATAAATGTGGAAAGGAGAAAGAACTTCATGCTTCAGGGTTGAAACCAATTTCTACTGTAGTTTAGGATGAGACCTTCATGGTGTCAGATTATCCCATGTCTGCCTACTGTAGTGTTCCTCTGAATCACCTGATCCTGTATGGAGTCTATGCCTCATTTTGACTGTGGTGCTTTTCTCTGCGCTCTTGCCATAAGATCAAGAGCATCAAGAACAAGTGATGGCTGCAGAGAGGGAAAACACAAGGAGGTTTTAAAAAATAAATGAATGATTTCTGTTTAACATGTATCACACACACACAAACTACATTAAAAGAACACTATTAAGATTGCAAAGTCAAGCACTCTGAAGTTAGGAAATGGCAGAATTAAGGGTGCCTGTGCAATCTTAATTTGGCTTCCTTGTGCCAATAGAGGAAAATGGGAGATGGGGGCACTCATAACGTCGCAAGCAAACATAGATTAATGTTGAACCGACCCAAAATGTTGTGTATCAACATTTCCAAATCAACATTTTTTTTAATTCTCCATCCTGCAAAAAATGTCAATAGTTCAGCTTTTCATCCCGATTTGAGATGGAAAACAAATGTTAAAATATCAGAATTCCTCGTGGAATAGAATTTTTTTGACCAGCTCTGTTCCCAAACTCTAACCTTTGGTCCACAGGGAGCAGGCTTACTCACATGGTGCTAGCTGGGACTACAGCTGCTAAACTGTATTAAAAGATTAAATGCTTTCCATGTAAGCAGTTGCTGTAATTACCACGAGGGTGTTACATGATCATGAATGGGAGGAAAGGACTCTGAGTCAGTCAAGGCATCTTCAATCCTAAGGACATTAAAATGTGCTGCATGCTATGAGCAAGTATGAAAACTACTGCCTTGACACCATGCGAAGCCATTGTTTAACACTGAATGATAGGAACAAGCCTGCCTTTGTGAGTCAACGCCACCATTTTTAGCATCCTCTGGGTTTGTAAGTGAAGGTCTTCCATCTGGCCAAGACTGATGACTAAATGTGGGAAATCTGATGCTGGAAATGGTGGTGTTGACTCATAAAAGCATGCCAGTTGGAAAACTGGCAAAAAGAAACCACCACAGGAAGGAAGAAATCGGAGAGACAAACAACTTGAGAATGAGGCACCTCAAAGACCAGGCTAAGAAAAGGCTTTCATTGCAATAGTTCTCATTTTGATGGGTTCTGATTCAAGCTTTCCTCATCCCATCTGGTTTCTTCTTTCCTTCAGGGTTTCTGGGTTTACAGACCATAGGGTCTTAGCCCAGATCCCTAGCTGGTGTAAATTAGCATCGCTCCTTTTGTCTTCAGTGGAGCTGCACCAATTTATGCCAGCTCAGCATCTGGCTCTCTTGGTTTAAATGGATCATGCTGCGGAGGATCCATGGAGAAATAAGGCTCGTTGGGCTTAGAAAAATATTTTTAAATAAGCATTCCTAATCTAATTCACCTAATGGACCCCAGGCAGTTTAGATAGGGATAGATAATAAGACAGAAAATATCATATTCGCTCTATATAAATCCATGATATGCCCACATCTTGAATACTGTGTGCAGATCTGGTCAACCCATCTCTCTCTCAAAAAAAGTTGGAATTGGAAAAGGTTCAGAAAAGAGCAACAAAAATGATTAGGGGGACGGTTGGACATGAGGAAAAAGTTCCTAACTGTCAGGGTAGTTAAACACTGGAATAAATTGCCTAGGGAGGTTGTGGAATCTCCATCTCTGAGATATTTAAGAGTAGGTTAGATAAATGTCTATCAGGGTTGGTCTAGACATGGTCCTGCCATGAGGGCAGGGGCCTGGACTTGATGATCTCTCAAGGTCCCTTGAGTGTCAGAGATTAATAGAACTGTGACTTTTCAGCTTGGAAAAAAGATGACTTGAGGGGGAATATGATAGAGGTCTATAAAATCATGACAGGTGTAGAGAAAGTAAATAAGGAAGTATTATTTACTCCTTCACATAACACAAGAATTAGTGGTCACCAAATGAAATTAATAGACAACCATTTTAAAACAAACAAAAGGAAGTATTTCTTCACAAAATGCACAGTTAACCTGTGGAACTCTTAGCCAGAGGATGTTGT